ATGACCATATGCGCGGGTCATCCTCGACATGGTTAACATCAAAAGAATGTGTTCTCTTGTCCATCATGACAGTCCCAAGGTTCTCACCCATGGCATCAATAGAACGCAACCAATTTAATCCTGCCATGGTACCGAGACAAACCCATCAATGAACTCAAAGACGAACATTCAATACCACTCTCTCGTTCCATATAAATTTATAACACTTGCCCTTGAAATAACAATAATACCACTTCCCAAGCACAAATATTATCTGGTTATTGGAGGAAAGGTCAAATTCTACTGTTAGTGGAAACGTTTGCTATCTACTTAGTTGCTTATCTATGAACACAAATGTGAGCTCCCAATTTCCTCCCTCTACAATTGATCGCCATCTCTAATGGCATTTAGAAGGAATTGTTGCACAGAAAAAAAAAAAAAAAAAAAAAACAGAGAAGCAGAAGGTTCAACAACACAAGAATTAAGTGTGCTTCAGCAATTCACGCCTAAAGGAAGCAAGATGATCGTGTTCTCGATGCCATTTCTAAGGGAGAGGTAAACACATTCTAAAAAAAATTCAGAAGTTGAAATAACAAACCTTCTGATAAACCAAGCCAAACCCAAATCCAATCCACACCAAAAATCCAACTCTTTCAAACAAAAAGGAAAGAACCCTTTTAGGGTCTTTAAATATCTCACTCAAGGACACAATTCTTCAATGACAAAATCTTCAAATTTTGCCCCAATAAACAGGAAAACACGTACAAATAAGCATACAATCTTGATACATACATAAACAAAAACAAATAGACAGGAACACCGGGACATACATGTGAGAGGAAAAGGCAAATTGAGCAACGAACCCGAATCAGAATCGAGCTAAATCCTCAAAAGGTACACTAAAACGTTAATTACAACCGAGCAACGTATGGAAATGAAGGTTGAGAAGATAGAACAGGGAACGCAGAAATTATTAAAGGGGGAGTTAATAACACGTTTGAATTGACCCTATTTTGGTAGAGTTGTAAATGCACCACAGACGTCAAACCCAACATTAAATATAGGAAAGAAAAGAAGAAGAAAAAGAAGACGAACCTAAGGTATGAATCCCTTTGGGTTTGCGGATAAAGCAATTGGGATTTCCGAGAAAATTTGAGGAGGAAAAAGGGTATGCGAAGTCGAGCGAGAACAAGGAGAGGCAAAGAGAAACCTGTCTCCTGGGAATTCGCATAGTGGGAATTTAAATAGGCATTTAAGGGGAGGGAGAGTTAAAAATGAAGGGAGAAAAATATAGAAAAAGGAGAAGAGAGAATCAGATTCCGAAATGGACGCGACAGATGTTGGATTAGGAGCTGTCGCATTGGGAAATTGAAGCAGAGGGGAGAGAAGGAGAAAGAGAAAGAAAGAGAACAAATCTAAATTCCCAAAACAAATGAAGAGTAGAGGAGATTGAATTCGAACCCAGAATCATAGTTATCACACATAATTTGGGAAAATGGAATCGTAACCCTAATTTTCGATTCCCTATCCACCGGAAATTGGGCGGAGGCCTCGTGGTTTGATCTCTCGTTCCGGTTGCTGAATCTGAATCATCTTCGAACACGGATTGTTTGCACCACGTGGAAAACGCTTATAAGAGAGAGATTGTGGTTCACGATTACTGCTGGATGGGACGGCGGCGATCAGTTTCGCCGATGAACAATAGAAGGCGAAGATTCAACCTCCATTTATTATTATTTTTTTTTAATTTATTTATTTTCCCCTCTTTTCCTCGCCTTCGCAACGGGAAACTGTCCATTGCAGAAATCTGGCGGGTAAATTTCTTTTATTTTCTTTTATTTTCTTTCTCTCCAACCGTCTTCCTTTTTTCTTTAACAATTTTAAGTCAAATTTCAAGGCTTAATTTAATTTATAAATATTTTTTCACTCTCTATTTAAATTTAGTTTTAATTCATTCTCTCATTTAAATTTATTTATTTATTTCAATATTCACTTATTCTCGAATATTTTTTTATATATTAGAAGATAAGGATACATTCGAAGTATATTAAAATGAATCTACGACTTTTATTTTAAATCATTCCAATTAAAAATATTTTATGCTCGTTTATACCAACTCAAATTCCTATTCTTTTAATTTTATTCTTCAGTATAAAAAATTTACACGAGTATTCTTGTAATTATAACATCATTTTATATTTTTATAATAAAATTTTCGTGGAAATATATGAACCAAAAAATACATAGTGATCGTTTCCTAATTTGGTACTTAATTTTTTTTTTTTAAGAATACTTCTCTAAAATAATTAGACCCACCCTAACACGGTGGGACGGCGAGCAGAGGAAAGATTCCCACCTTCCAAATTAAAATAACCAAAATAAATAAATAAATAAACAAATAAATGCTGCGATTTCAAGAACCTAAGTTATATTAATAAACTATACACGTTTTTCGTTTATACTTTAAAATAATAAAAATATTATATCATAATATTCCAAAATAAGATATATTTATTCCAAAAGGAAAGGAATATTATTAAATTAATTCTACGATCATTACATTTACAATTAAACGAGTATGTATTTTATAATTCTATATAATTTATATTTTTTAAGCTAAATATTTTTATTTTTAATTTTATCATATAAAAAAATACAATCTTATAAAAAACAAATTCTGCCCATTATATTCTTTAATTTTTTATAATTTTGGTAGGTAACAAAATTATAATCTCTAAGAATATGAATATTTTGAAAATGAAAAGTGATGTGTTGACTAATTATTTCAATAGTCAATTTTATTTAAAAAAATTATTGGTTCGTATTTAATTGTAATTAAGATCAATATTCGGAAAGTATAAAATTTCGAATTTTCTTCTATTATTATTATTTTTTTTTTTTGTAAAATGACCATTATATTCTTTCTTTCGTTTATTTGTCTTCATTTATAGGTTCCTTAGTTTTATTTTTAAAGTTTATGCATATCTTCAACATATTTTCATTTTTTTTTATTTAAAATTAAACTAAAAAAATCTTTTTTTTTACTAAACTAAAATGCTATTTTTTTATTTTTTAAGTCCTATCTTTTCATCTTTTATAATTTTAATCAATTTTCAGAATTAAATACAAAAATTAAACTAAAAAATCTTCGACATATTTAGAAACGTGTTATTTAAAATTGATTAAAAAAAAGTTAATTTTAAATATTTTGACTTTAAAAATGTTATTTAAATAAGTTCATTTTCAATATAACAATAATAAAATAAAAAATAATCGTTTTGTTAATAAACTTTTATTATATATCATAGTGATCACTGTAAAACAATTATGTAAAAAAACTAAAGCTAATTTGTATTATTTTATCATTTTTATTAATAATAATTTACTTTTAATTTTATATTTTAAAAACAAACATGTGGTAATAATATATTTTTAAATTAAAAAATAAGTACAGTAACTAATCAACTATTCGAAATATCTATATTCATTTCAGCTTATTCTAAGTTATTTAGATATATATTAAATATGTTCGAGATACGTCTATTTAGAGCATATAATGCACATGTGCGATCTAGACTAATAAAAAAAATCAAACTAGATCTACTATTTTTAGGTCTATATTTTAATTTTAAAACTACAATAGTTGGTTGTGAAATTTAAATAAAATATGAACACGTGAGTTATTTTATTTATATTATTTTAACTAATAATATATTTTGATTATAAGAGTGACCATTTTAATAATCTACCATGTCATAAAAATGTAATTTATTTATATGTAAATTTGATAATATTCTCCTACAATACTACCCACAAGTATCGCCCTTTTCAATAAAAATATATTAATATTTTAATGCACAACCAAATACAGTTGTAATTAGATTTTTTATTCTCAACTCAAATATATACCATATTTAATATTTTATTATAAGGAGATATTTACCCTATCATTCTTTTAATTTTTTAGTATCTTTATATTCTTGTAATTTATTTGATTATAAATAGAGAACTTTCATCGATCATTTACATAAGAGTGGATTAAGCAAACATTCATTAGACTTATCATAATGTATAAATTTTATATTATTGTTATTATTATTTTGAAATAAAATTGATTAGAAGTAGTGTTAAACTTTTATTTAAAAGAAAAAAAAAAAGGAAAAAAATGGCTGAAATTGGGTGAAAATAAAAAATATCTTTTTAAGATACGTTATCTACTCTATAATAGTTTTTAAAATAGATTCTCTTAGAATCAGATTCTTCTTCCAGTTTATCTATTTAGTATATTTCTTTGAATTCAATTCCTCAATTAATTAGTAGTTTTTTTAAAGTACATTAATAAAATTTATGCTCAATAATTTATAAACGAATAAAGGGTAATAAGTAAAATAATTATTTATTTATTAACCTAAGTTTAATGAGAGATGTCGCACGATTTTGTAGGGACCTATTTTGGATGAACGGATCATCTCTAAAATGGGGGTGGGAGTGAGAAGAATTTTTCCTCATTGAGCCCAACATCAGGGACTCATCCTCATCCCCATCGAGCCCAAGATCGGGGATTGTATTCCTCATCCCTATCTCCATCTCCATCGAGCCCAAGATTAATAATTTTTTTTTTAATATTTTACATGTTCTTACGATTATATTTTCATGATTTTCTACAAATACCCATCATTGTCTTAATCTATTATATTTTATTTTGGCCGATAAATTTAGTTTATGAAACATCATGAGCTCTCGGGCTTGTTATAAATATTTTTATTTATATATTATAATTGTTCAGAGTGAAAGTTCTTATTTCAAACATAATATTATAACAAAAAAAAAAGTTGTGAGACTCGAAGCAATAGTTATAGCAATTCAAATATCTAATAAATAATATATTTTATTGGAACGTTCCAAAGAAAAAGTAAAGACTCAGCTATACAGATTATGAATATAAAAATGAATAATACTATGATATGAAACAAAATGGTGAATTTACGTGTAATTAAATTACACAAAATAAAATAATAAAATCAAATAAAATTAAAAATTCCCTCAGAGATGTCAAGCTTAACGAGGGCGAAACAGAGACTGTGATCGTTAACTATAAAAGCATTATTGTTTGATCGGAAACTCCAGAGTTGGATGTAATCGCCACTTTCCAATGAGTTTTGTTCGGCGAATGAATTCCATCGAGACGCCAAGCAGTAGTTATGGCCGCTCCCAATCTTCCACAATTTCAAGCCAATTACGCTCTCTCTCAACGCCGCATCGATTATCGCCACCTGCATTCCGATCCTCCTCCTCCTCCTCCGATCAACCTCTTCTTGCATCATCAACTCCGCCTCCTCCTCCGTCGCGAAATCGTTCATCAGCTTCTTCGTCGGAATCAACAACCGGCCATGGTTCTTATTCCGATCACTTTCTTGCAATTGCTTCTGCGTCACTAATTGTACGTCGGTGCCTCCCATTGCTTCAATCCTCTGTCGCAGCGCCGCCGGCATCTCCACCGTACTCGAAAACACCATCTCTCTTCGCCTCTTCCTCCTCGGCTCATCATCACAATCTCTGTTCTTCCTCTTGTTCGTATCAAGACCGAACGATGAGATCAGATCCAAAGTCTTGGAAACGACGCCGCTTTGAGCCATCGTTGTTGTTCTTGAGAGACGAAGGCAGCGATGAAATCCAAATCCAAGTCTGGGATCCATTAAATACACAACTCCTTGGTTGTTCTTTCATCTTCCTAATCCTAAACACTTCTTGAAAATATCTTATCTATTTCCAAATTCCGCTTCTTAATCGGAAATGGAATCCAAAGATTGCGTTTTAAATCCTCTGTTTCCTTCAAATGGCGGGAAATACGGGTAAATTTTATAAACCGCCTTATTACAAGAATATTTTATAATTTTATCTTTTTTAAAAATATTTATTATTGCGGGCTATGTTATATTTGAATTTTTTTTTGTAATATTTTAAAGTTTATACATAATTACATTTAATTATCTTTATGTAAATCCCTATTTATTATGAATTAAAGCTTTATCCTAACTTTAAATTTTAAATTTCATTAAATTATATTAAAAAAATAAATATTGTAATTTTATCGAAGATCAATTTTCACTCATTCTTTCTAGTGTATAATTTTTTTAAATTCATTAATTTCAATAAAATAAAATTGGGTAGAAAAACAAATTCAATCGAAAGCAAAAAATAATTTTGCTAAAAATAATGTTATTTTCTTTACATTTTATAAATTATATATATATATTTTTAAAAAATAATATTTGGAGCGATAATTTGTTAATGGTTAAAATTGCAAAAAGTAATTAAACTTCATAAATTTAAGGTTAAGATTTAAATTTTTCTTCAATTTTTAATCTAACTATTAGGAAATTAAAATAAAATAATAAAAATATAAAATTTTAAAAATTATGATGAAATAAAAACTAAATTAAAGAAATGACTTTATAGGAAACTTTTAAAAATATAAAAACTAAAACCAAAATTATCAGTTCATTGCATAATGAGGACAAAAAGGATATTTTTCAAGGAAAAAAAAAATTGGTTCAGTTCAATAATCATAATTCATTACTCGGAAGCATCGCCGTTCTCCGACCATGACAACGATCGGATTCCGCCTTATCTCGGTTCCATCCGCCGTCTCACCACTCTCTCTACTTTCTCATGAACCGAGGGATGATCAAAGCCAAGCGCTACGCCATAACCTTCCGGTTACAACATCTCGCCGAGGTCTCACTATGCTCTCATTTCTCTCTGCGATGCCGTCTCTGTTTCTACCTGCTCCCGCCACTGCTTTCGATATCGGCATTTGTAAGCACAGAACGCAACGTTGTTTCATTAATTGCTTTGTTTTTCTTGTGTTTATTTTTTCTTCCTGGAGCCCTAGTTTTATCGGTTTGCCTGCAGCAGGACCAAAGGATTGGCTGAGGGAGCAGAAGAAGAAGGCCTCCAGGTTCCTCTTGGCTCCAATTGAGGCCTCCAGAGACAGCCTTCACGCAGTTTACCTTATGCTTTGTAAGTCTTTTTCACCGTCTCTTGTTTATCCTTTATCTCTTTGTTTCGGTATTTGCTTACATCGTCTCCGCTTGCAGCCAATGGTTCCGATTACTCAAACAAGGATATGGAGGACGTTCAAAGAATGCTGAAGTCTGCTGCAAGGGATTGCGTTTTGAAGGACAGGAATTCGTTCGTTCAATTCCAAGCGAGCACTGGAGTCGAGGTTCGATCTCCTAACGTTGCTTATGTTTCTCTCTGTATTCGTTTTGAATTCATTGCGTTTGTGAACCAGGATTTATCCAAATATAAAGTACAATTCAAATTATTATTTTAGCATCCTATGTCGCTACTCATAGAATTTGTTGAAGTATAAACTTAATTCACATCGAACAAGGTTAGATATGTTGAAATTTTCTTCCTATATCTTAGCTTGAACGATCTTTGGTCTCGATTTTTTTAATTCTGCAGGTCTGTACATTTCAATTGATTGTGAAAAATGCCGCCTCCTTGCTTGGAAACGAAGATCCTATAAAACTAGAAGCTGAAAGTCGATTAAAAGATCTAGTAAGGTAACCTCCATTTCATTTGCTGGTGCCTGTTATATTATTTCTTCAACTGGATAATGCTTTGATTTTGATAAGTAATCCGTACTTCTTTGGTCGTTTAGTTTTATAAGATAAGCTGCTTTACTTTTATCTGTATAGAGGACGGAACGAATAAAGATTAAATTCGTAAGGGCTCAGATAAAAAAAGTTCCAACAAAGTTGCAGAGCTGTATTATATCTTCTCTTTCAATAATCTAACAGTTATTAGTTTTGTTTCTACTGGTTGTCAATTGTAATCTTTTCTCGCACTTCTGATGCAGCTCGTTCACTTCTCTTAATAGTCTTGCATATGAGACTGATATTCAAGTCAATTCCAACAGGTACGTCCTCATTTGAAGGCTCAAATAAAGTTTATCTTGACAATTACTTGTCTCATCTCAAATCAGGATTTTAATAGAGAAATACAATTACTTAATAATTAGATTATCCAAAATGTCAGATTTCCTTCCACATACTTTATGTGGCTGCTGGCCGCGTGATCCTTTTTTCCAATCTAGGCAGTTGAGTTAGTAGGTTGGCCATTTGCTTTATTACATGACTTGCATAAATCTCAAGACTAATGTGGATTGGTAGAGACGTGAAACTAGATATAGATTCTGTGGGAATTTGTACTTTGGGAGTGCATAATTGACACTCAACACTAGATCTTCCTAGAGGGTAGCAATGCTGTAAGATTGAAGAATCCATGGCACTGATGGAAATGTAGTTTGGTTTCAAGGCCAGTACAGCCGTGGAACTCAGATACAATATTCTCTTGACTTTAACTAAGTGAAGCTCATTCACACTGCTTTATATATTTCATGTTGTCGGGCTCTTTTCCTGTGAATTTAGGCACAAAAAGTTTTGGTAACCTAAACCTCTTTCCTTGTATACTTATTTTCTTTCTTTCTTCCCCTTCTTTTTTCTTTTTATTGCAGACAAAAAGTACTGGATGCAGTAAATGATACCATAGATTCCCTCGACAAATTCGAGAAGGGTATTAAGGATTGTCTTGAAACTTAAGTCCCGTGATTTTGTTTTGTAATTAGATTTTCTTATGTTAAGTCCAAACAAACAACAATTAAATGAAGCCAAAAGCAAAGTTTTTAAGCTCATTCTCTAGCTTCTTTAGTGCTAAATCTAGTGCTTGAAAGTTGAATGCATATGTACCCACCCTATCATATATGTGCTTATGTGTGCGTGTATGTGCATGTTCATATTTAGTTTGGTGGAATTATTATATATCTTGAAAATCTGGGAGTGTAATACGCTATCAAGATATTTATAAGTAAATCCATTCGTTTTGACAGTCATATGTTATCATTATTATACTAACAAAGACAGACATTTCATGTGCTCTCAGAACACCATTTCTCTCTGTTAGCAAGTGATAGTAGCTAACTTTCATCTATTGGGCAGTCCTTGCGATTCTTTTGATGCTTTCAACGTTATCATTTCTTCCTACAGAACCATGGTATATACAAAATTAATATCCAACTCTTAGAGTTTATAACCATTGAAAATCAGGGATAAAATAACTATTTGCCGATGATTTTGCCATTTGGTGATGTAAAAATTTTCACTTGTGGCAAATGATTGAGTTGTTACAAGAGATTCCAGTTAATTATTATAAGTTCAGTTTCCTAGGCTCTTTTCATTGGCATAGTAGACTATTTCGGGAAAGATGTTTGCATAGGTGATTTCTTTTCACATGCATAAGTCTGAACGTTATAGTGGAATGCTTGTAATCTACTTCTTTCAGAATGCACAATTTAGGTTCAAGTTTGTTCTAATTGCATAGTTTACACATGACATACTCGAATTCCACATGTATAGCTACACCTCTGATATGGTATGGTGTAGAAACCTTGGGCAGTATAATACGACATGCTCTCCTTGGAATAGTTGTAATAGGTAGCAGGTAGATATGACGTCTGACATTCATCCAACCTACTCACTCAGAGATTTTCTTACTTGTGGGTTGTCTTTATGGGACGGTTGTAGCTGAGGTGAGCCAGAAGCCTGTACCAAGTACAAGCGGCAGCAAGGTTTTCCATCATCAGGGTGAGTCTGCAATGACCTAGGTAGACTGCGGATTTTATTGAAGAGATTTAATGGATCGTGCATAAGCCCAAAGTGTGCATCCATATCTCCAATCTGTGATAGTGTAGTGTTGGAAAATCCAAGGGACGGAAGTAGATGATCAGGCCAATCGCAGTAGAAATGGAAGACAGAATTTGAAAGAGTGGTTGATGGCTTGTTCATAAAATCTGCTAAGAGGACTGTGTGGGTTATGGTGCATTGGTCAGCTATTGTCTCCAACACTTGCAGCGCCTGGGAATGGGTAAGATAGTAGAGTAATCCTTCTAGAACCCACACTGTATTCTTCTCTGATGCAAAACCAGCTGTTTTAAGCTTTTCAAGCCAGTCATTACTTCTGATATCAGCTGCTACTCTGTTTAACGATTTTGCTTTTTGTTGATGATGATGCCCGTTTGGAGGTTCTATTGCAGCCTTTAGAAGAGTGGCTTTCGCTTGCAACAACTCAGAGAAATCAACTTCAAAAACGTCACTTTCCTTCAAGCAACTTAATCTGTAAGCCCTCGTATCCATTCCTACATTATAAATGCGATCTCTATTATTTGAACTACAAACAGAACTTCAATTGTAGTCTAATATATACTTCCTCCCTTAAAACTCAAATATTTCAGATGCAGCTGCAAATAATTCTCTTTGACTAAGCATACAGTTCCCATTTTGGTAGTTTTGATGGCCTCATTTTTAGTCACTAAATAGGTTGCCGTGGTTATCTATCATTAACTAGCGTTTTAGCCTGCCCTCTCCCCCACTGCAACCCCACCAAAGACGAAAGAGGAAAAAAGAGATAGAGAACGACAAGAAAAATAAAAAGGACTACGCACTTTTCTTAGATATCATTGTGTGAGATTCTAATTTCACTACTTCCCTTATTTTTCAGTTCTAAAATGCCTAGTGCCAACCCTGATTAGGACTCGTTTTGTTTGAAAAGAAAAACAGGGTCGTTATTTGTGCTGTTGGCTATGGCTATCTTCTACTGCTATGGTTGGGACCCTCTTAATGCAGTATGAAGTTTAACTAATTGCAGCTTCTGGGAGTTGAACCAACCTGCACCAAGGAGAACGACCTGTGAATCTCTGCCACTGATGGATGTCAGAGCACCTTCAATTTTTGAATCAAACCAGAGAGTGCGAACAGCAAGAATCACTCCAGAAATCTCTCTTGCATTGTTGCTTCGATCTTTCTTTATTTTCTCATAAAGGTTTCTTAGGCATGCTTCTCCAGCCAGTAACTCTGCCAGTGGATCATGGATCATGTGCTTCCAAAGCGCTCTTCCTGCTGCCATTTGACATGCCGAGCGTTGGAGGTAATCCCATTCAGCCTCAATTCTGGCATGGATTTCACGTACACTGTCTACCAATAACAAATCTGGAAGCTTTAGCTCAGACCATCCTGGGTTGTCTGGCCAACCATTCTCTTTATCAGTCATGCTTCGATTATAAAACGGGCTGTTAGAATTGATAAGAAATAGGGAAGTAGATAATGCGTTCTGTTTTTGTAGGAACAAGGTGTGCGCAAGGAAAAAGAGCAGGATTTTATGGAATGGGATAAGGAAAGAGAGCCACAACAACCAATGCTTAAAAAAAAAGCTCAATTTAATGATAAGGGAGAGTGAGTATATAAGTTCCACGAGTGCGTTAAATCTCGTATTTTTGCTCTCTCTCTCTCTCTATTGTGGATTCTTTTGTGCTGTCTTTCATCAGAAGAGAAGAGGAAGAGGGCTCCACTGAAAAAGACGCGCGATCACATTTGAGTGGCTCATAGCTCGGATATTGAAATTGCCATACTACTTCAGTAATACCAGGTACCTTTGTTTTTATTCATTTACATGGCAAATGTTTTTCTGATTCTGATTCTTCTGCACGTGGCCGTTAATTCTCCATTCCTTTAAGGCCTGTTTGGCTCTCAGAGAGAGATATTTTTCCGTAGTTCTGGCTGAAGGCAAGGTATTGATTGGTTAGTTATTGGGCCATCCTATTTGGGGCGAAGGGATATTGGATATCGCTTAAGATCTTACCTCTCTAGTTTGTATTCGAAGTTGGATAATTAAAACTTTTCAAGTGGAGTATACAAATTTGAATCTCCAGATGGAGAGGAAGCCAGGTGTTTTTTTTTTCTTGAAGTACTTAGTTGGATTAGTTTAGGTTAAATATTGATTTAGATATTTAAATGGTTTTGTTGTTTGTTTTGATCCAACCGATTATTTACCTACATGTGTTTAAGTGTATGTAGTTATTTATTTATTTAAGATTGATTGACAACTTTATTTCACTTGTTAATGTTTAAAAGTATTCTTTAACTTGTAGTTAAATTTTTAAGAGAGAATGATAGATTGTTTTTAGCTGAAGGGCATGGAGCCAAATCAGCAGTTCCCGTAGGATTTGTGAGTCCATCTTCACTCACAAAAGTGTAAGTCCCACTTCATCTGCTATAGAAATGCCCTCCTTTTAAGGCTGGTGTTTCAACAAGCTCAACCGATATACCCTTAAAAATTTGGAAGTTCTCAGCTGTGAGCAAGGTGTTTCTGACCGAATCTCGGGCTATGACAATCATCCTATTCAGTCGACAAGCACTTCATTGGCTGATGTTGTGGAAGTTGTACCCTCTTGGCCATGGCGTTGGTGAGTGGCCGTGAGATTAAAATAGACATTTTCAAAACCGGAACAATATTTAGGCGTTTATTCTCTCTCATAGATAAAGTTACTCTTTCTGCTTAGTTCAGCCGTAATTAACATACACTCACTCTTTCATTTAGGTCGGAGGGAGGTTCAAAACTTTAACTCCACAAATTGTAATTAATAAGATAAAATGTATACAATGCAGAAACTAAAAACTATAAGCATATATTAAATCAATTTTAATGGTCAAATTACATAAACAAAATTATTGGCTAAGATGAGAAAAAACTGAGGAGGAGACACTTTATGGTTTGGGAGAGAGAAAAAAGAGTCCGATGAGAATGGCAGCAGATATGTCCTCTTTCTAACCAATAAATCAGAGAGGAAAAGAGAGAGAGAGGGTTTATCTGAAGGAAAACTGAATTTCTTCAAGAGTTCTACCTTTGGTCTCAGGGACCCAAAGAGTAACAAATAGCACCATGAAACCAGTCACCACCATGTAGATTGTGAATGTTCCTGTCAAACCCAAACCCATGAGAGTTGCCTCATATGATATTCATTAGAGCTTAAACTCATAGATTTATGCTTTCTATTTCTATTTCTATTTGTGAGGGTTCGAGTATTTACACGAGACAACCACCTGATCTTACAAATCTTAGGGGTAGAGTTGTCTTAACCACTATGCTTATTTTGAGCGTTGTTATTACTTTTCACATACGAGTTCGGACGTTAATTCAGTTATTAAAAAGAACTAAGATGTGAACTGTAAATATCAGTGGAGGATCAATTGGCATTGCAAAGTTCTAAGAGAGAGAAACATACCTCCACTGCTCCATCCTAAGAGGAGGTTCGCAGACATGGTGACTCCCCATGCGCTAAACCAGTTGGCTAGTGTTGCTATACTACCAGCAAGACCCTTGATATTCACAGGAAGAATCTGCACCCGAGTTCTACAGATTATTAGCCTCAAACTCATCAGAAATTTGTAACCAACTTCTAAATCAGCATAGATTTACAAACCCCTCTACTTCACCAATTCAAGGTTATTTTATTTTATTTTACAGCAGAAAGAGGAAAAATACGATGAAACGTCGTAAAGGCTTAATCGAGAGACTTCGTGGAAATAGTTCTGTTCTTCAGATTTCGTAACAAGATGCTTGGATTAACACTTCTAATGTTTTGTTTTCATTCCAATTTAGAATCTAGACGAACTAGGACCGAAAACGTTTACAACTCCCAAGCCCTTTTCATAGTCCGACTCCGATCAGCAATTCAACCATAAAAAGGAAACAAGAAGAAAGTTTTTTAGGAAAAAGTAGCACAAGGGGCATACCTCAGACATTATGATCCATGGAATTGCTCCAACACCCAGAGAGAAAGCAACAACCATGGCCTGCACCAAGATATCTCCTATTGACTCACAGGATCAAACTTTTGCTACTAATTTAAACGATGTGTAAACTTGGACATACCACAACCCCGACTACCGATACGATCCCCGCTATACTATACAAACTGGAATCCTCAGAGACAGCATCCTGACATCAATTTTGCAACACAGCAAAGCTTAGATACATGCACTAAGATATTGAGGCTATGAAAGAAACATAAAAAGAACTAGTTTACCTTCACAAAAAATGCCACAGCAACAATCAGAAGGCTAAGAGTCATTCCGCCAGAGGAGATCTGAAATAAAATTATAAGATAATCAACAAAGATGTAGACTAGTAGAAAGAATTAAGAGTAACAACATGAAACTCACAATAAGTAGAAGACGACGTCCTGCGCGGTCAATCACCCATGTTGTAAATGCAGTGGCAACAACCTAAAAAACATGCAAGTCATTGCTGAAAAGCATAGCTCAGATGGTGAAAATCAGTCACTAAGAACATCAATTATAGACTCTACCTGAATAGCGCCAAGCCCAACTGTAGCTGCATTACTTGAGGTTATGCCTGTTTAAAAAAGAGACAGTGAAGAGTCATTTGATGCAACAATAGCATGGAGATTTAAGAGTTAAACTATAGCAACCCAAGTCCACTGCTAGCAGATATTGTCCACTTTGGCTCGTTACGTATCACCATCAACCGCACGATTTGAAAACGCGTCTACCAAGGAGAGATTTCCCCACCCTTATAAGAAATGCTTCGTTCCCCTCTTCACTGATGTGGGATCTCACAATCCACCCCTTGGGGGCCAGCGAATTCGCTGATACACCGCCCAGTGTTTGGTTATGATACCATTTGCAACAATAGATATTGTCCGCTTGGGTCGTATCGCTGTCAGCCTCACAGTTTTAAAACATGTCTACTAGGGAGAGATTTCCACACCCTTATAAGAAATGCCTTGTTCCCCTCTCCATCCAATACGAGATCTCACATGAACCAAGGATTTAATACACACAAGATATATTTACTCACCGGCAGATGCAAAGATGGTACTTGAATAGAACAAAACACCATTAATTCCACTTAGTTGCTGCAGAATAAGTAATCCTATACCAATCTGCATAATGCGAGAGAGCAGTAAAAGTAAGTTCCTGAATTCTACGCATAACATGAAATAAATATACAGAATCTTCAAAATCTCGAGCCAGTACCGACAACGGCAACCAGTATCTTTTTTGTTTCAGATCAGCAAATCTAATAGTTCTTCTTCTGTTGGCTGAAGCTACAGACCTCTGCATCATGTAAGTTGGAAGCAGTTATTTGGATTGATGGTGTGACATAGTTACAGATAGATATACTTTCCATGGTTCTTCATGAACTAGCATGACTCAACCAATTCATTGAATTTATTGTGCATTCACCTTGATTTCATTTACTTCAATAGTAATATCGGTATCAAATCCGCGAAGAACTTGCAAAGATGTTTCAAATTCTTCTGTCATCCCCATCTTTGCCTAAAGGTTGACCAAAAACTATATAAAGAACTGAAAGCATTAAAATTTAGCTTCATCAAGTTGGAGACATTGATGTCATGATTTTTACCAGCCATCTTGGAGATTCTGGGATGAAAAACAATCCAGGTATCAATATTGTACAAGGCAAAGTTCCTGCAAACGAAGTGTGTCGTGATGTTTCATCAATTAATATCTGTAATTTCTGATGTTAAAAAGGAGAGGGAGAAGAAGAAGAAGACGTATAAGGTCACAGCATTGCATTAGAAAACGGTTCAACACAAGATCACACCCTCTATGAACAACTTTCTAACATCACAGAAAACATAACTTGTAACAGTTCAAGCCTACCACTAGTAGATATTGTCCTCTTTGGGCTTTCCCTCGGGTTTTAAAACGTCTGCTAGGGAGAGGTTTCCACACCATTATAAAGAATGTTCCGTTCTCCTTCCCAACCGATGTGGGATCTCACAATCCTCCCCCCTTCGAGGCCCAGCGTTCTCGCTGGCACCCCTCTCCAATCCATGTGGGATCTCACAGATATCATTGATTAACAAACGACAACAAGCACTAACATAGATCCTTCAGTCCTTCAAGATAACTACTTACCCAAAACTGCAAGTATTCTCCATGGAACGAATAGTCCCAGCAGATAAGACAGCAGTATTCCCAAGGTAACAGACAGCTACACCACAAAAAGTTTAAGTAGCTGAGTTGATATATGGTTAAAATTAGACCAATTCGCGGCACAAACACGAAATGTATCCAACCTGATTAACCGAACCGAGACTTCCTCTCAAGTTTTGGGGTGCTATCTCGGCTATATAAACCGGTACCTAGAATGGAACGTAAAGTCCCTTCAGTAAAAAGATAATCTGAGATAACCAAGCTGAAATTAAAGTCACACCGTGTAAGAGATTATCCCCACGCCAAATCCTTCCAACAACCTCCCCATGTATAGGAAAGAAGAATCCTACACAAACAATGAAAATTGGTTATAGATAAAGAGTATGCTTCCAATCTGCATATGAAACAGTGTTCATTCAAACTTACTTTTGCAAATGATATAGCAAGCCACCCTATGATATTGGGAATTGCAGCAATCATTAAGGCCTGAAATTAAGCACATCAAAGCTAGATTTGATACTCCAAACAGAAGAAAAGCTTCAGCAAGAGGAATTAATGAACCAAATGTTACCCCTTTCCGCCCA